AGGAAAGTTCGGAGCTATTATATGTCATTTAAGGCTATTTCTGACAAGTAAACTTGTAAATGTATGAATTTGAGTTCTATTTGCTTGTTTCAAGTTACAAACACTTAAAACAAAGTATAATTGGTTAGGCAAAGTGATTAGCATGGATAAATGAATGAAAATAACATGCATAAGTTAGAAGCTATTACATTTGAGTCCAAATGCTATATTTTGTCAATAATTTTTCGTTGTAAAACAAATTCTACATTCACATGTTTGTATGTAATGCAGGATACATACAAGAAGCTGCATGAATGCACTTCTCAAGGGTTACAGTCGAACTCTAATCAGTTGTTTTTAGCCATCCATTGCTTCTATGGTGGAGGCACAGGTAGAGGCCCAAGTCGTCGCGAGGATGGCTGAGATGGAGGCGTGGGTTGATGCACGTATACAGGCAGCATTGGCAAAGGAGCGTGAGGAGATGGCAAAAGCAAACCGGGCACTTGTACTCCTTTTAGCCACGTATACAGGCAGCATTGGCAAAGGAGCGTGAGGAGATCGCAGAAATGATGAAGAACATGTCTTCTTTTAGCCACTTGTACTCCTCTTGTTCTCTCGAGCCTTCACCCCAGCACAACCCAGAAGATGACCCAAGCTTCGGTGGTGGGGTGCTACATAGACTCCTGTACTTTAGTTTGTATGTTATCGGCATTTAGTATGTAAAGTTTAGTAGGTTTAACTTGGATATGATAGTTGTGTATGAACCTGCATTTTGTAATTTTATTAAATATTTTGTAGAAATTATTTTATGAAATGTTATTGCAACTATAGGTTTAGGTGTGGAAAGGAAGGAGCCATTAATATTTTAGTCAGATATAATCACGGAAAAAAAAGGTTATCGACGGCCAAAACTGTCGTTAATTAGTCTGATTTTTTTTTATTTGTCTAAAAAGCCTAAACTGACGGTTTTCTAACTCGATAATTGACAGCTGAAGAGGGATGCATAGCATCGATAGTTAAGAAGTCGTTGGTTGTTATGATGACGCTGATAGTTAATAAACCATCGATAGTTTAAATTACGCAGACTACTGATAACCGTTGGTGTCTCTCCGTTTGAAAAAATATCGTCGATACAACTCAATTTCCTATACAGGGATGAATTGTCGGTGTGGTTGGTGAAAACTGTGAGTGTAATCTTAACTGATGGCTTAACTTTCGGTGAATTCAAAATTACCGACCAACGATGCATCGACAAGCTGGCACCGACAGCTAGCCGTCGGTGACCTCCATACCGACGCTTTTTCACTTTCGTACCGACGGTACCCAGTGTAATAGCCTGTATTTTTTAAACGTATTTTCTAATTAATTAATATTTTCTAAAAAGGGTATTTTAGTAATTTATTTTACTATTTGAATTTTGGAGCCAAAATGATATTTGAATTTTGGCGCCAAAAGTATTTTAAAACTTAATTATTATTTTTGGATTTTGGATAAGATTTATTATCCATTTATTTTATTTTAAAAACCGGATTATTTATATATATTTCGGATATTTTAATTAAGCAAAAAAAATTATACTTTATTATTTAATTAGGAGGTCTGAAAATTCCTAATAATTGGCTATTAATTTCGGATTTTCCTAGTGAGGAAAATCTGATTTTCTTAGTTAATTTATTTAGTGAATAATTGGTATTCTCTTAATTAATTATTTTATACAATATATATTATTTACACAAGCATTTTTATCCTTAAAATCTAGCAAATAACTTCTTAAATTCTACTAAAGTGGTCCGAAAATTTGAGCTATGGAAGCTCAAATTTTTCGGCCATCTTGATTGATTTTGGAGTGATTTATTTTGGTAGTTTGTATTTTTAATTATCTTCCTTAATTCTACTGCTTTTCCTTAATTCTTAATTTTCCCTAAATATTTGATCATCTTATTTTCCTACTTATATCATCCTTGATTATTCCCCAAGCAAAGCCATTTGCCATATTATTTTTCATGACAACACACTTTCCATAAATTAATTATTCCTTAGTCACCTTAATATTAAACTTTCCATAATTCTTTAGCTCTCTTCTCTAAGTAATTTCCTTAATCATTTTTACCATAATTCTTCCTACATTCTCCTACCATAATTTTTGCATAAGATAGACTATAAATACCCCTTGAATCATAGCTAAATACTCGCACCAAATTCTCTAATTTCTCTCTTAATCTCTTTCTAATTCTCTCCTCTCTTTCTCTTGCTTTTACCCGGCCACCACCACCAAACACCCCCTCCACCGCCGGCTGCCACGTGCCGCCACCTTTCTTCCTCTTTTCCTTGGTTTTCAACCTCTTCTTCTTCACTTCTCTTAATTAATTAATTATTATTATTATGGGGGTTTTATAAAAATTATTATGAGTGTTTTTAATTAAATAAAATCAGTTTATTATTCAAGTTTATGAAAAATAATTTATTAGGTTCACGTACATATAGTTGGGGGTTTTATTTTTATTTGTTGTGGCTATTTGTTAACCTTATATTGATTAAGGTTATATTTATTTGTAAGGTGTGTTTGACAAGAGTTCTCGAGGTCCCTTTAGTGTGTTTGCTAAGCAAGGATCAAGGTACGTTTAGGTGGTTAGATACCTTCGAAATCGACTGGATTGAATAAGCATGTTTTATATCATTTTTATGATGATTGAATTAAATTGAATTGAATTATGATTTATGAAATAAAGTATGTTTAAATAATTGGTTTTAACAAATAAGTTTGAAGGAATGATTTTTAAATCATGTTTTGAATGATTAAACTATTTATCATGTTTTAAAAGGTTTGAGTTTGAAAGCATGTTGAATTAAATAAAAAAAGGAGGTTTTGAATTGTTTTATTATAAAGATTGGAATTGTTGATTTAAAGAGGATTTATTGAGTTATAAAAGCTTTACAAGCATGCATATTATATTAATCCCACTATGCGGATTCATTAAAGACTATGGACTTTGTATGACCTAGTCTTTTCTTCCGGATAACCTTTCAACATAAAGATACTAGCTTGGAGGGTGTGCACACTTAGAGAGGAATTGGGTTTTTTTACAAGAATTGATTTTTAATAATCACTATTATTGAATTATTGAGTATTGGAATTATATTTGAGTATATTGAGAATTGATTTTTTAATCATGAGTTTGGAATTATTGAATTAATTATTGGAATTGGTTTTAAAAGCATGTTTGCTAATAAATTGAATATACTTATCTTGCACTTATTGTACTTAGCATATTTTGCTAATTCGTATTTCCTATTTGTTTTGGTTCGCCCTATTTACCTTAATGGCAAGCAGTGTTGACTATTTTCAGGTGGAGTCAATAAATGAGCATTTTGGGAGTCCCGGGATATGTTTCACCTAGATCTAGGAATGTTGGTCCTTATTTCTATTTTGAGTACTCATAACATTGGTTAATATTTTTATTAAGTATAAATAAAGAAAGATTTTGAATTTTCGCTGTGAAGTTGTAGTTTTAATTAGAAGTTTGAGTAGCCTTGCGTAATCACGCGGCGGTAATACGCCTAAGTCTATCTCTGCGGTATAATTATATGTATTATACTAGCATATCCGTAGAGGGAGATTTGGGGGTGATACACCCGGCCATTGTTATATAGTTGCTTTCTTGTAGCCAAAATATATAAATTGGAATGATTTTTTTTACCAGTATTGATTTGACCATATACTCAATTTAGTCAAAGGATGATTATTTACCAAACGATTTAATCATTTATTATAATATGGTTGTCAAAAAATACTATTATATGAGGATTGTTTACCAGCTAGGATGATAATCTATTAAATTGCTAATTAATTGGGATGATTATTTATTTTGTTAATAATCAACTGAAGGGATGGTCATATAGTTATCAATGAAGTTAGAAAATTCTATAGATAAATAATTATTTCATTTTTCTAACTTAATATGCCTTTTTATCATGGTTGTCCAAAATCTTAATCCCCTATATTGTAAACTCTTTATTTATTTTCGAAAAAAAATTATTCTCACAACTTCCAACATACTTGTCTTTTACAAATTTGAAATCAATAACTTAATACTAAAACAGACACCGGGAGTGACACGTGTCACATCCTGGTGCTGTTTTTTCCCCCCAAAATTCCCCTTCCCTTTTTAACCTTTTTTTTTTGTGAATATTTGATACAATTATAATAATATCATTTCAAATTTTTTATATTATCTTTATGACAAAAATATTCCTTTTTATTTGGTGCTTATAATTCTTCCTAAAATATTAATCTAGCTAACTCCTTTTTAATTATCTGATAGACGGAGTAACATTAGATTTTGCTAAAAAAGTAATACTTTGTAATAAAATTGATTCATATTATTGATATTAAAGAAATTACTTTAAAGCATCACTTTTATTTGTTAGACATAATAATTTATTTTTTTTTAAAAAAAATTACACTTATCGTGCATGGCACAGGGCCTAAGCTAGTATATCAGTATTTTAGTGTTAAAAAAAACTGACTTGATGTCCTGATTCAATTATACATACGCACTATAAAATAATCACTGAAGGTTCATGCTGAGTTCTTGATTCTCTAGATCATACAAGTATTATATATTCAGATTACTCAGATTTTTCAAAAAACATTAAATTATTTTTAGATAGAATGTGTTTGGGTTTATTTCAGGTTCGAATTGAGTTGAATTGGATTTTGATTATATTGCTAATTACGGGTCATATAATTTCAAGTCAAAACCGGGTCAAGTAGTTTTGGGTAATATCGACTTTCAAATCGGGTAATCATGGATCAGTTCTGTAAAGTCAAACCCATTGAACCTTTGAACCAGACTCTATCAAATGACCCGAACCAATAGTGGGAGTCACTCACTCACTGAGTGTGGGACTGACCAAATTTGCAATACAACTCCAATTGCTGACTTCAGAATTGGAATCTGATAATCCGGCAATTTTCCTCCTCATCTTCAACCTCCTGTTATCCTATTTCAAAGGTATGTTCCCTTTACTTCTTTCTCTCTCTTCCTGTAATATATAATTAGGGTTCATTTTCTCTGTGCACTGTGTTACCCATTTAGTATGTGTTGTTTGCTGCTTTGAGAAGCTCTAATTTACATTTAATTGTTGTAATATAAGTTTTGTCTTCTGGGTTTGTGCAATTTTCATGGCTTCATTGCATCTGTCTTTTTCTCTTGAGTTTCATGAACCCAAAAAGATTAAATTTTGTCCAACTTCTGCTCAATTATTTGATCGTTTACCTGTTACCCACTTCCTAAATTCTTCAAATGGAAGTGGGTTTGGTGTAATTTTTGCTGTTTCTAAGTTGAATCATGTTAAAGCTTCTCGTTTCGATTCGGAATTAGTAGATGGTTCAGTGAATGTTGGTGAGGGTGATGGTAATGGTGGAACGTATGAGGATGATTTAGGGAGTGAGAATTTGATTTCCCATAATACGAATTTGTCGCATCGTCATCATAAGGCGGGTGCTAAAAATATAGGGAAGGGATTTTGTGGTGGTGGAGGTGTGAGAGAAGTGCGAAAAGAGAAGCAAAGCTTGAAGAAGCTTGATAATGCAGGAAAATGTAATGGGAAAGAAGATGATGTTTGTGGTGAACTAGATGTTGGCAAATATGGTATTAGGCCTGAGTCGAGCATAGCCTCGTTCAATAAGATATTGAAAGGCCTTGAAAGGGGTGAGGATAGGAAAGCATTGATATTTTTTGACTGGATGAGGAGTAATGGGAAGTTAAAAGGGAATGTAATTGCTTACAATTTGGCTTTGCGGGTATTGGGAAGGAGAGGTGATTGGGATGCGGCAAAGAAATTGGTTGAGGAGATGAGACTGGAATCAGGGTGTGAGCTGCAATTTCAGGTCTTTAATACTATAATTTATGCTTGTTCTAAAAAGGGGCTTGTGGATATTGGTGCTAAATGGTTCCGTATGATGTTAGAGTATGATGTTGAGCCTAATATTGCAACTTTTGGTATGCTTATGAGTTTGTACCAGAAAGGTTGGAATGTTGAGGAGGCAGAGTTTGCATTTTCCCAAATGCGGAGACTAAATATCAGATGTCAATCTGCATACTCAGCAATGATTACAATTTACACCCGGTCTGGTTTGCATACCAAAGCGGAAGAGGTGATTGATCTGCTGTTTAAGGATGAAGTTGTAATGAATCTTGAGAACTGGTTGGTTATGCTGAATGCTTATAGCCAACAAGGGAAGCTAAAAGAAGCCGAAGGTGTATTGGTGTCAATGGGTGAGGTAGGTCGTGCCCCAAGTATCATTGCATACAACTCACTGATAACTGGGTACGGGAAGATAACCAATATGGATGCTGCAGAACAAATGTTCCAGAACCTACAAAATGTAGGCCTGGAGCCTGATGAAACAACTTACAGGTCCATGATTGAAGGCTGGGCTAGATCCGGGAATAATGAGAAAACAAAATGGTATTATAAGAGGCTGAAAGATTTGGGATTCACACCAACTTCCTCTAATCTTTACTCTTTAATAAACTTGCAAGCTAAACACAAGGATGACGATGGGGCTTTTATCATTCTTGATGACATGGTGAAGTTGGGCTGCCAACCCTCCTCCATTCTCGGCTCTCTCATACAAGCTTATGAAAAGAGTGAAAGGTTTGATAGATTGCCACAAATTTTGAGGGGTTCTCTCTATGATCATGTGCTACATAACCAGACTGCATGCTCAATTTTGGCTATGGCTTATGTAAAACACTCCTTGGTGGATGATGCTATTAAACTTCTAAAATATAAGCACTGGAAGGACCCAGCTTTCGAGGACAACTTGATCCATTTGCTTATTTGTTCTTGCAAGGAACTGGGCCATCTGGAAAGTGCTGTCAAAATATTTACCCATATGCTGAATTCTGATGGAAGGCCAAACTTGCATATTTACTCGACTATGATTGACATCTACAGTCTTATGAATCAATTTGCTGATGCAGACAACACTTACCAGCTATTAAGGTCTTCAGGACTTGCTCTGGACATGGTTGCCTATAGTATTGTTGTCAGGATGTATGTGAAATTTGGACTTTTGGAAGATGCTTGCTATGTTTTGGAAGATATGGACAAGCAAACAAACATCGTTCCTGATATTTATTTGTTCCGCGACATGCTCCGAGTGTACCAAAGATGCAATAAACTAGATAAGTTGGCAGACTTGTACTACAAGATCTTAAAGAGTGGGGTTAGTTGGGACCAGGAAATGTACAATTGTGTCATAAATTGCTGTGCTCATGCTTTGCCTGTTGATGAGCTTTCCAAGGTCTTTGATGAGATGATTAAAAAAGGATTTTCCCCCAACACTATCACTTATAATGTTATGCTTGATGTTTATGGGAAGTCCAAACTTTTCACAAAGGCTACGAAAGTCTTTTCAATGGCTAAGAAACAGCAATCGGCAGACGTGATAACTTACAATACTCTTATAGCAGCATATGGTCAAAGCACAAACTTAGAGAAAATGACAAAAACTGTGCAACTGATGCAGTTTAATGGGTTTTCTGTATCCCTTGAAGCTTACAATTGTATGTTGGCTGCTTATGGAAAAAAGCGTCAAATGGATAAACTTAGAGATGTCTTGCAAAGTATTAAGGAATCAAGTCACACTTCTGACCAGTACACGTACAATATACTGATGAATATATATGGGGAACAACGATGGATTGAAGAAGTTGCTGCAGTGTTGGAAGAGCTAAAAGAATATGGACCGGGACCAGATTTATGCAGCTATAATACATTGATAAAGGCATATGGCATTGCAGGAATGATTGAAGATGCTGTTTCTGTGGTTAAAGAAATGAGAGACAATGGGGTAGATCCTGATAGGATCACTTATCTCAACTTGATAACCGCAATGCGCAGGAATGATAAGTTTCTAGAGGCTGTTAGATGGTCATTGTGGATGAAGCAAATGGGAATGAGCTGAAGTACTTGTATATTCTTTTTCTTCGGTTCTTTGTATAACAGATAAATGCTCTGTTTTGCTTCTGATCACTAGCCGTGATTGATTGTTTCTGTCACTCTTAATGTGTTAACTATAGACCCACAGTTACTTAGAATCCATACTTTTTACCAATATACCATGGAATAATTGCTCTGCATAAAGATACTCTTGGTACTTGATTCAGCAGAATATTTTCTGTATTTGTTTGAAATAAATTTGTTCACTGAAATAAATAAGTTGGGAGAGAATCAAGCCTCTCGAATGCTTCAATATATTTTATTTTATGTAATTTTCAGCTTATTAGTCAAAATCATCATCCTTTTCCTTAATTTCTGCCATTAATGTTGTGTAAGCTAAGTTAATTTTTAGCTTAAAGGGGAACTGAAGTAGTGAACTGTAGGAGAAAGAAACTGTGAGAAACTTTTCTATTTTCTGACACCCTTCCTTTTTTTGGAGATACAACGTTGGAAAGGCTCGAACAACCATCTACCCAGCTTCACACTCCTAGCTATAGCAGTCAATTCATGGGCTGGAGTTCTGGAGTAACTGTATCCCTAGTAATATGTTTTAGCATACAAGACACTAAGGAGGGCATCGGGATATATATCAGGAATTCAAATCCCAGATTCCCTCAGTGAGTGTTTGGTTAGCATTTTATATAATTGCTTTTCTCTTTTTTCCTTTTGGAGTTCCCTCACTTTAATGTAACATCATTTTCCATACCACCCCCATCCCCTTGGGACTTGTATTTCCCAAGGGATTTTCACATTTCTAGTTCATCACTACAAGAGGGCTTAGGTTAATTTCTGCAAGAGTAACAGAGTCAAACAGAATACAGAGTTCCAAGAGTTCAAACTCGAAGAAAATCCAATAGAATGCAGTTTGGTTTGTATACTAACCCATATTTTTCAATATCTTTAGGAATATAAATAGCCAAGGATGCTGAAGTTATGTCCATTTGGGAACAATAATATTTTTCATTATCTCTAGGAATATAAATAGCCAAGGATGCTGAAGCTTTGTCCTTTTAGGAACAATGCCATTTAACATTAGATTTACAATATTCATATTCTTGATCAATTAGCTTCTTTACTGTTGCTTTCAAAAAAAAAAAAAAAAAGCTTCTTTACTGTTTGTGGCCTTGGAATTCCTTTCCTGCCTGACCCTGCTATCTTCATAAAAGCTTTTCTGACTAATTTAATGCTCGTACAAGACCCTATCAAACCTCAGGATGCATTAGCCCTTGGGTTTGGGAAACAGATATTAGAATTTATCTGTTACTTACTCAAATGCCAAAAAATTGAAAGTGTCTGAATTTGCAATGTTTTAATTTTCATTAAGAACATGTTTGTTATGTTGCTATCCTTATGCCTTGTCTATGAACCTAGATAGTCTTGTGATGAGTCAAATCCATATGTTCCTGCTGTCTGAGTTGGATGAGAACCTTGTGTTAATTTTTTCGCTGTGACAACTGACCACACAATGTGTACTTATAGTTTAATCACATTTGTCTTTGCAGGTGAAGCAGACATGACAATGTTTCTGTTAATCCCCAACTACAGCTACTGCTAGTAAGTCCATTTATCTTGTTTGCTCCTCACATATTTTCACTTTTAGCAAGATATTATCCATTTTTCTGACATCTGGGTATAGTATCTGCTATATTATTATATCTAAGGCTCCGATGAATCCATTGATCTTTGTATACATTTATTATTGCCTTCTTTCCAGAATCATAGCCAAACCTAGGAGAAATATTAGTAAGAAATAACTTAATTATGGTTCTAATTTGTCTCAAAGGTAAAGTATCAGCTAAGGTTAATATTGACAAAAACCTGAAATCATGTTTTAATATCCCGTGGTTGATTTCAGGCTTCTTCTCTGTGATGCTGTATAATTGAATGGCAAAAAGGGCATCCAAGTGCTACTACAAAATTTTGCGGGGTTTTATACAGGACTATAATTTTGGGAATATCCAGCCTGTCTTTGCGTCATTTATTAAGAGATATGGTTTAATTAAACCTACACTAGGCAAGATGTTGGTGCATTACTTGTGTATGGAGAACAATGTAGATGGTGCCCTTATACTCATTAATGAGTTGAACAAAAATCATTTTAAGGTAAATTTTCCTGTTGATGTTATTGGGATGCTTACAGCACAAGGAAGACCTTTGGATGCATACAGACTTGTTATGGGTGCCCAAAATGATCTTTCGAGTATGAATGTGGTTGACTACTCAGTCCTTGTTGATGGACTCTGCAAAGAAGGGTACATTGATAAGGCCTTAGAACTATGTAATTTTGCCAGGAAGATGGGAGTTAGACTTAATGTAGTCACTTATAACTCACTTTTCAATGGGCTATGTCGTCAAAATTGTCTCATCGAGGCTTTTCGGTTGTTTGATTCATTGGAGATGAATAAAATAATTCCTTCTGATGTTACTTATGGTACACTAATCGATGCTTTGGTTAGAGAAGGCTATTTGTTGGATGCTCGGCAATTGTTTGAGAGAATGATCATCAAGGATATAAAACCAAATACCCATATTTACAATACTCTAATTGATGGATACTGTAAATTTGGGAATGTGGAAGAAGCATTGGGGCTTCTATATGATTTGGAGAACCACTCTCTTAAGCCTGAAAAATTCACCATAAGTGCTGTGATTTATGGCTTTTCCTCTGAGGGAAACATGGAGGGTGCACTTCAATTTTTCATCGATATGAAGGGAAATGGCATTTCCCCTGACTTCTTAGGCTTCTTATATTTAGTAAGGGGCCTATGTGCGAAGGGTAGAATGGAAGAGGCACGGAGTGTTGTAAGAGAAATGCTTAAAGATGAATCTGTTCTTGAGTTGTTAGCTAGAGTAAATAGCGAGATTGAAACAGAATCTGTAGAGACCTTTCTAGTTGACCTGTGTGAACAGGGTAGCATTCAGAATGCTCTTATCATTCTCAATGAAATTGGATCAATGTTTTTTCCTTACAAGAGAGCTTCTGCTTCTAGTTTACTTAAACCTATGGCGTCTTGTGAGGAAGATATAGAGACAATCTCTCCTAATCCTCTTCCCTCCGTCCATCAAATGGACTTTGATGCTTTGTACTCGAAAATGACATCTCTTTGCTCTCTAGGTGATCTCCAAGGTGCTACTGCTTTGGCAAAAGCTATGATATCTGATTTTCCGAAAAAATGATGGCATCAGAATGACACCTGCTCTGAGCTAAACCGATGCAGGACTTCTGGGATTGTACATGGATGAGAAGTAATGCAACACATCAGCTACATCCTACAGGTATTTGCCTTTTCAGCCATAGTTAATTTCCTTTTTAATCTTTGTTCGCACTCAGTATACAGCTTTCAAAACAAATAGCTTAGGGTTCGTTTGAAATCGCTATGGTTTTCTATTTTTTTGTTATATAGGGTTGGAATATATATATATATATATATAGGGTTGGGATCTAGTGAGAAGTATGCTTAATGTGAAAAGCATGAGAAATGTAGATACGTCAAGAATACATTAGAGATACATTGAATATACAATATAGGTACATCGAAATTATATTACATATACATCAAAACTCTAGCATTGAAGGCCATTGGGGGAAGAGGGTGAAAATGATTTGAGGCTTTGATACGACACTATATTGAGTGTAAAAGCAATATACCATCAATTAAAATACAAAAAACTGAAATTCTTGAAAAATCTTGAAACTTTTAATGACTTCCAATCAACAATATCAATGTCACAATGACAAACAGTTGTAGATACATCATAAATATATTGTAGATACAATGATCACACATTGTAGATACATTGAAAATACAAATCAGATACATTGATCCAAAATCTATTAGTATAGATTAAAATGGTGAGAATAATTCAAGCTCAACTAAAACTTTCGTAGAAAATAGAGGTTTGTCAAAAATCGCCCAAATATTAATAACGAATCTAATGCACCTATGACTCCATAATCTCCATTAGAGGACAAATTAGCATTATTATCTTTATTCTGATTTCCTGGGTATAGTCTAGAGGAGAGAAAAAGGATGATCTAACAACAATGGTAAATCAAATGCTCCAAACTTTTTACTTTTTGTTAAAATTAGAAATATAAAAAATTGATGAACCTCAACAATAGGGTGCGACTGCTAGTAAAATATAAACTTTCTCTATCCTTCCTGCCATGGTTGGGCAGCCATTGCTTCCTCAGACCAAAGACCCATGAAGCCCATGAATAAGAAGTACTAAAAATTCAGCTGACGCCAATACTTAATGAAATCAAAGCACTAACTCTATCAATATTATTATTAAACCAAAACATCTGATAATAATTCCAAAATTTACAATTAAATGACAATACCCAGCTCCGCGAAGTGAAGAACATTCGAAACGTAGATTGTTCCTTCAATTCGTTGCTATAGCTGCCCTTTGCGTCTTCTATCAGGAAACTAAATTAAAATAAAATACCAGTAAAATTACAATTGCATGATACTTTAAAAATCGATTCTAATACTCCAAACCTCAAATCTGATACTCATGAAATTCGGAAACCAATTAAAAATTAATTAGTAAAATTGATTTCACAATCTTCATTCAATCCCAAACGAGGCGTATTGCCTAATATACATTTCACTCCCAATTTTCTCCCTCTTTATTAATTATTTCATCCTAATTAACTCAATGTTGACTCTCTAAATTAATAGAGTATTCTCACTCCAGATTGATTCAAGTTTTGTTGGTTGCATATTTGTATAATACAAGTATAAACCCCAAATAAATCTTCTCTGCTTCACCAAAAATGATTTTTATTTTTTTAAAAGTACTTTCCTTTAAGTATGTCAGAAATTTATTTTCCTTTTTTTTGTCAATAAATTACCGGTTATACAAGTTTATTGAGGGGTTTTACCCTGTTCCAGTACCTTATTTGCTACAAATGAAAGTTAACTACCTCATCTGCAACTTTTATTAAAGTTCAATACTCCCTCCTTCTCTTATTTACATGCCCTACTTTCCTTTTGGGGGTTTCAAAATTACATGCCTATTTCTATTTTAAGAAGGTACTTTTTGACAACATTCTCTCTTTTTGATGAGTTGTCATTAATTTTTTTTTTTTTCTTTTAACATCATTTTCCAACACTTTCTCTCTTTAATAATTACCAACTACCTTTTCTTTTTCTCTATCTCTCTCTAACCCCACGTGCATATTTGTATTTTCCAATCATGGCTTTTAAGTCCCTTAATTTCCGTGTAAAATGGAAAGTAGGCATGTAAATAAGGGACGGAGGGAGTACTTTATTGTGGTATTAACTGACAACTAAAAAGTGGAAACACCTTTTTTATTTCCCGTTTTTGGTTTTTTGTTTTCAAAAAAATCAAAAATTGAAAATAAAAAACAATGCCAAACATTACTGTTTATCTCAGTATTTCAATTCCATCAACTACAAATCTATAGTTTATTGTAAATATATATATATATATATATTTTTTTTTTTTTGAAAATTTTGTTACTTCTTTTCTTCGTTCTTTAGTACTTGTGATTTTGACATTGAATGGTCATTTTCACTTGGTAATCAATTGAGTAGTTTTGCTTTTTGAAGAAATTTATATGCCTTAAATCGTAATTAGGAACCTTGCAAGTTATAACTTATCATGATATCATCTCATACTTGTTTATATGAGAGTACTTGCTGAAATTAAACTTATATGTGTTGCCAAAAAGAAGTAACATCATTTTTGCTGACTTGCTAGGCTGATGACTCTTCTATCATTTCGGCTGGTATGCATCAGTAGGCCTATTTTGATGTGTTTTCGGAGTTGGTAATACTTGTCCAAGTATTATTTTGAAGCATACGACTCAGACCTTTGGATTAGCAGAATTGCCGTGATTGCCTGACTGGTAATACTCTAGCACTGTTTACATATAACATCATGGGACTATGGGAGTGGCATCTTGTCGCTTATAGTTTACACCAAGGCCTCATGCCTCATGGACATGCTGTGTGAAGTGACTAATTCGGGGGCAAAATCTTCGTTGAAGATACAGTATGTTTTGAGGGTGTTTGAGAAAATTACTCCTAAAATTATGAATGCGTGATTTGTGATTTGTGAATTGTGATTAAACAAAGTGTTATCTAGATAATCTTGACATCATGTATGGAAATCGTCATTATTTATTATTTTTTGTAATTAGTCTTCATATATTAATTTGAATTAAACATCTAGTCTAGTGATTGAAAAAGGCATGACTTTAGCTTACATTAAAACTTAAAAGTACTCCGTACCAATGTATTAATTTATTGCGTGATATTGTGTTAAAAGTATTAAAGTAAATGGCTTTAAGATAAGGAAGGTAATTTGTCCACTTTTTATTTGGCCAAAAAAAGGGGAAAAAAAGAAAAAAAAAAAAAGAAGATGTCATCTCTTTTTCAATGTGTTCCATGTAACAGGCTCTTTAAAATTGCTTTGGTAACCTAAGTGCTAAATTATTGTTTTTTATTTTTTGAAACTTTATCAAATTTTATAATTCTCCCATTTCATTAACACTTTGTTTGGATTGAAGAAAATGTAGGGAAAAGAAGGAAAAGGGATGGATTATATTTCATTTGGATAACAAATAAGGAAGGAAGGGAATTAGAGGAGAGAGAAATGGAAGGATTAAATTGTATGAAATTAATCTCTCCAACAATGGAGAGATTTGAAAAGAAAACTCATCTTTCTTTCCTCCCCTTTACCTCCCTCCCCTTCTTGTCTTTCCCATTTCTTTATCCAAATACACCGTAAACTTTGACAAAATTCTATAAATCTCCCATGTAATGTTTCATTTTATTTGCAAGTTGCAACAAATATTTTCTTTTCTTTTTAAGTTATCATCTTGGATGCATGGACACTTCATCCAATTGTTGTGTTCGTGTCGGACACTGTGTCAGACACCGACACTCGTAGGACAAACGACGATACGTTTCGGACCGTATCCTACTATGATATGGGATGTTCAACATTTTTTTGATAAGAAATTTTAAGTAAAGTAAGATAAATAAGGTAATTGTTAAATAATATGGGTGCCTTCATATATAGCTCATTATTAATATGATACAATATGATCTAATGAGAGGACGGAATGACAAATATATGGTCAAATTCTTTTTTATTTTATTTTAATTATATTTTATGAATTTTAACATCTCGTACCCGTGTCCCTTATTTTAAGATAGATGTTTTCTCGTATTCATTTTGTACTCGTATCCGTGTCAATCCCCGTTCTTGTGCAACCTAGGTTATCATTGTTTTTTATCTTTCTCTACATCACATACATCTCTATCTTTCTTCCTCTGTTTGACGCTCACAAATTAATTTTACATTAATTTTACATTTTGATGTACTTAACTTTGATTGTTGTTTTAGGAGATTGAGTTGAATGGGGTAGTGTATTGTGTAAGTAAATAAGGCCATTATAATTTATAAACCTACTTATATTGCATAGTTACGGCAAAAAGTCTAAAAAAAACCCGTATAATGTTCAAAATAAGGGTCTTTTTATATGTATTATTACAAATTTACAATTATAGTAATTTAAAGACTTATACTCGTGTTTTTAAATAGTCATATCATCAATAAACATTAATATTTTCAAATACAATCTTTAAAGTTAAAATTATAAATTTACACATCGAAATTAATCAATAAGATTTCACATAAATGTGTTTTTTCTCATAAATTACTGAGAGAGTATTCATATTGCTTTTCATCAAAATCTATAATCAAAGTCTCAAAGATCCAAATACAATTATCAATTTAAAATGGAAAAAGGACCGATACAACTATTATTTAAAGAGCTAAAACAACCCCCTTAAGGAAACATATTGCCTTTTCTTATCTCCTTCCCAATGTTCCAACGTGTTTTCAATTTTTTTTTTTTTTCATAAAAAAAACACATCTCATTGGATGTGCATGAGATGATGTAGGCTCTATTCAAATTTAAGAAAGAGACATCTCAATTTTTTAGATTTTGAACATTATAATGTAGAATTTTAAATAATAATTGAATAACATTAAGAAAATGTAGAAAGAATCCAAAAAAGACTCCAACTAAATTGGGAATTGAATATAGAATTATTCAAATATAAAGGCTTTCCCCAAATAAACAGTCAAGAAGAGAATGTCTTGATTATACGTATATTAGAAAAATAATTGACATTATTTAAAATGTAAATCGACAGCTTCTACATTGAATGGATGACTCCTTAAAAGGGTATATTTCTGTCTTGATTAGCCTCATCATAGGTCATTGGGTGTCTTGCATGTGCAACTGTTCATAATCATGAGGCATTGGTAAATTATGTATGTGCACAATAATGTGCATAATAAATTAATAATGTCAATAAAGTAGTAAAAGTGTAATACCAAATACAACCTCCCATGTTGCACTCTACAAGTAATTAGAAATATTATCTCATTTTAAGCTTATAATGGTGTATTAGGGACTTAATTTGTAGACATCTCCAAGTATATAACTATATTATTTGAATAATTAAGTCAAGCCTTTATATTTGAATAATTCTATATTTGGAACAGAGAGAATTTAGTATAGTTATGTCCTCTTCACCTTAAAAATAATATTTAGTAATTTTAGGTCTACTAAAATAAGACTCTGTTTACTTCACCTTAAAAAAAAAAAATTCAGTAAAAATCAGTAACTTTAAAGAAGAAATATAACAGAAAATCAGTAAAAATAATTTCAGTTCAGCAAAAATAATTTAACTTCAGTAAGAATAATTCCAGTTCAGCAAAAATAAGGTGAAGTGAACAGAGCCTAAGTCTTGTTCAGTAAAATAATTTTTAATCAGTAAAAATTAGTAACTTCAAATAAGTACAAATGTAACAGAGAATCAATAAAATTAATTCAATTCAGTAAAAATAATTTCAGTTAAGAAAAATTAATTTTAATTTAGTAAAAATAATTTCAATCCAACAAAAATAAAGTGACGAAAACATGACATAACACTTACAAAAAAAAAAGATAGAACACGTCCCGTTTAAATATGGTTATTGGGCGGGTTGGTGCGGGTTGATTGTGGGTCGGGTCAAAGAGGATCACATTTTATAGGGTTAATAGCAGGTCGAGCCAATACGGTTCACGGATTTATAATGGGCGGGCCAACAAACTATCAACTAAAATAAATATTGGACAAAGCCATAATTAAGTATGAATATGATAATATCTATATAATTTTTTTTATTATTTATTTTCTTTATGTACTCCCTTTGTGTTTTAATAAGTGTTACACTTTGACTGACACATAATTTTAGGCAATTTGATTGACTTAAATAAAAGGATCTTGCTAACGAATATTCCCGAAGCGTTGGATAAGCATTTAAAACATTTCCTAAAGTGGTATTAATTTGGGAATGCATGCCAAAATCATGCGTCGATCGGTGTAATTAATGTTCATTTTTATTTGATATTTCCACTTTTTAGTTATCTTATCCAATGCCCCCGGGACGTTCGTTAGCTTTTACCTAAATAAAATAAGAGGTAAGTGGGGTAGTTAGAGTATTAAAAAAATATAAAAGAAAGATAGTGGGGTAATAATTTACTGAAAATGTGAAAGGAAAGAAATACTTAAAAAAAATAGTATTGGGTTTGGGTGAGGTCCATAAAAGGAGAAGATATAATATTAATATGTAGCTTTGTCCCCAAAAAGGAAGTGTAACACTGATTAAAACACGGTCGCGTTTGATAAATGTAACACTTATTAAAAAGAGTATTAAATTAGAAAAACATTTTATCTCTATAATGACCTTACCTAATAAGGGCTCTGTCATTAAAGGTTCTATCCATTAAAGACCCTTTAAACTTGGCTTTGACCCAATTATCATTAGCCTACCCTGCCCAATAACCAAGTCTAATTCCGTTACAATTAATTAGAAATAGATAATGTATAGAACTATTAAGGTTGGAATTAGGACCGGGCCGTGCCGAGTTAAAGGTGGGTCATGCCGGGTCGGGCCTTCAAATTACACATCCTAGCCCATGACACGGCATGACCCACGTGCCTGGCGGGCCGGACCACGGGCCTGCCCAAAATTTTTATTATTATTTAAATAAATTTATTATTAATTGCTTAATATTATTATTATTATTATTATTTATAGTTCTTTATATTATATTTATTATATTAATTTTTATTATTTATAGTTTTTTTTTATAATTATTGATTAGGGGATTTTGCTCCCACCAATCACCATCTGACAAGTGGACCAATCAGGTTCCGCCATGTGTCCGTCACATGGGCCAATAGGAGCCTGCCACGTGTCAAGCAATGATCCGTCCACCTTGGACCAATTACGACACGACATGTGTCCTTCCCATGACACCTGGGAAAACCGGCCACCCAGGCCCAACTTCCGAGGGAAGGCCAATCAGCCCTAGGTTAACCTAAACCTAGGATTGGCACGTTTCCCAAGGTTATAAATACCTCCCTTAATCCTCATTAAGGGAGATTACACATTAATGACAGAAAAAACACATTGATTACACAGAGTTACAGGCTGATTACGCTAAAAACTCACATTAAACACTCTCACCTAGAGAGACCTAATCACTTTAATTTCCGCATTAATTACTCCTTAATCAAGTACTAACTTGACCGTTGGAGGCGGAGCTCCCACCACCAGGAGTCTCCGTTGTTTTGCAGGTACAGGCGTCCGGTTCCAGTCTCGGAATTGTAACTCTCCCGCAGGACATCAGAAAACCCCGAAACATTTGGCGCCGTCTGTGGGGAGAGTACTTCTGAGATGGCATCCAAGTCTGTACCGACTCCTGAAGAGAGGCGTCCCCTAGACGACCCTCAAGTTCAGTCGGACCATGATACTGAAAGTGAATTTGAAGTTGAAGCTCGCACAGCTTCAGACGGGACCCTAAGGGCCCGACGTACCCGTCATACCGAAAGGAGGGAACGGGAACATCTTCAAACTGGAAGCGAGCCAGCAGACGCACCGCCTGTTCGGCAACAGCCGACTGATGGGTCTGCTCCCATCACAAGGAACGAACTCATGACCTTCATGAGGGACTTCAAGGGAGAGATTCAAGAGTTGATCAACAAGAAGCCGCCTGCTCTGGTCAAGGAGCAGTCGGCTAAGAAACCCTCCACTTCACTGAAGAGGAAGCCAGTTCAAGGGCGAGAGGC